AATTTAAATTTTAAAGTCAGCTTATCAAGTTTCACAGAAAGATAGGAGTAACATCCTCAAGTTACCAGGTATTAAGTTTTCTTTCTGAGTTGCTTTTCCATCCAGTGAGTAATAAATTTATTACATTAATTTCTTTCTGGGTTAAACATATATGCAGAGAAAAGTTTTAGTTCTTTGGTCAATTCTTGACTGTTATATGTGGTCAATTACATCTATATTTATTGTTTTCTTAGCATGTTACATAGATATATTTAAGTTGCAAAAATTTGAAGCATACATTTCTTTCTGTTAGGAACGCTCCAGTTCCCCTCTTTGAAGTCATTTAAAGTATACCTCATACACATAAAGCTCTAAATCACTACTTGTAAGTTATAGCCCAAATGGTGTTATGAAGGGGGAATCCACGGAATTCAGTAAGGCAGAGAATAAACAGAATATTAAGCCTTCAGAAGTAGAAGGTAATAAATAATGAAAATCAATTTGGAAACAAAGAAATAGAAAATAGTAAAGTCACCTAACCAAATCTAGTTATTGAGAAAGAATTATAAAATATGCAATTTCTATAAGTACTATTAATTACAAAAGAAAAAAGTATAACTAAGTGATGTTTAAAAATTCTACACAATACAGGAGCGAAAGGGATTTAATATAAGAAAACACCATGAATATATTTAATCATGAGCTCCTCATAACCAAATGGTGGACCAAGAAGGAAAGTTTCTACCTATAGAAGTATTTTAGCTAATAATTTCAGAAGAAACAATATCATTAGTAATCACCTTCCTACAGCTCCTAATGAATTAATGAACAAAAATGATGATCATCAATAACTGCCAACATCAGCACAAAGGAAGAAACACAAATGTTATATTTCTCCTAGTGAAAGTATATAGCATCGCTTCTTCAGTGGCCCTGCTAACAAATAAGCAAGACCCCAATAAATCTTAATCTGATCCAACTTTTTACTCTACTAATGATTGTTAATGCTGAGTTTCAAGTATAGTGAGTTGATTGTACTTTTCTCTGTACTATTGTAGACATGTGATACTTTTTTAATGAAACATTTTTTAGAAATATCTTTAAACTTGAAATTCCAGTTGAATGGACCAATTTTTTAAGAACTATAACTTCCCAATGACGTTACAAATTGTTTGGACTCAATTGTTCTAAACAAGAGAAGAACATGTCAGTTAAACAATTCAAACTGAAATTTTAGCCTAAGTTCCAGCCCCTCTGAAATATTCTAGAACCAGGTAGTTTTGGAGGCTGGAGTTTCATCAAATAGTAAGGGTAACAGTAATTGCCATCTTAAATGAACTCTTCCAAGCCACACAAAAAGATGAGAAGTTACAAAACTCATTTTAACAGGTACATTGACCTTGATACAAAGACCAAATAAGGACACTTCAAGAAAAGATCACTTGAGCCAGTCTCACTCACATAGAGGCATCTATTCTAAATAAATTCATATCATCTTCAATGTATCAGTGAATAAGTAGACTATGTCCACAAAAAGCAAAGATGATATAACATTAGAAAAAACTGTCAACTAGAATTTCTCTACATGGATAGAGAAGAAAAGGCATTTGATCATTTTTCAGGAGTGCAGAAAAAAATCTTGGGAAAAAATATTAAACACCCGCTCATAGTTAAAAAAAAAAGATAGCAAAATAATGGTAGAAGTTAGTTTTTCCATTTCCTAAAATCGATAGAAAATTTACATAAATGTGAAATGTTAGAACCATCTCAATTAAAACCAAGACCAAAAAGATGCATGCTTCCACCTCTACTGTTTAAAATTGGACTGGAATAACCAGTCCAATAACCAGAGCAATAAAAAAAAATATATATATATATATATATATATGTATACATATATACACACACACACACTGAAAAGACAGAGATAATAAATGGTGACAATATGTTTCTCTAATTAGAAAATCCACAGGAACTAGTACAAAAAAATACTCAAGTAAATTAAAGACTTCACAAAGCTGTGAAGCATCATGGCAAACTCAGGAGCCTCGCCACCCAAAATCAATAACTAATAAGGACAAATAATAGAAAATATACCAATCACAAAAGCAACAGATATTCAAAATTTACCTAAAAGAAACCTGACAAAGATGTACGCAATCTTTTTTAGAGGCAACTATAAAAATAAGACTTGGGGAAAAGAAGTCCCGAATAAATAAATCAGTACATTATGTTTATTCATGGAGAAAGGAATATTTTAAATATGTCTACTCCCCTTAAATTATTTACAGATTTACTGCCTACTGTGGACTGAATTGTGTCCTCCCTGAAATTCATAAGCTGAAGCCTCAATGTGATTTTATTTGGAAATAGCACATTTAGGGAGGTAGTTAAGGGTAAATAATGTTGTGAGAGTGAGTCCCTAATCTAAGAATACTGGTGTCCTTATAAAAAGAGACAGAGAAACCAGAGATCTCTTTACATATGCATACAGAGAAGAGGCCATATGAGGACACAGCGAGAAGACAGCCGTCTGCAAGCCAGGAAGAGGGCTCTTCCTGGAAACCAACCCTGATCACATCTTCATCTTGGACTTCTAACTTCCAGAACCATGCAAAAAGCAAAAAAAAAATTTATGTTGTTGGGTGGCGTCTGTGGCTCAAGGAGTGGGGTGCCGGCCCCATATATGGGGGGTGGTGGGTTCAAGCCTGGCCCCAGCCAAAGCTGCGAAAAAAATTTTTTGTTGTTGTTGAAGTCAAACAGTCTATTATTTTATTATGGCAGCCTGAGCAGACTAATACACTGCCTTACATGTGGTATAAGCAACCAGCATTGGTCGGCTTCTTCCCAAAATCAACCCTGGAAAAACTATAGAAGGGAGAATGAGGAAATGATGTTAACAGCACCAAAGCAACACAAAGGAGAAATCCCTTAGGGACACCAGATCTGTGTTGAACTAGTACTTGTGTATGGACAGGTGGGGGCATACCCTCAAATAGAGACCGGCCTGTAGCAACAGAAGCAGATGACAAAATTGGTTGGAGGAAAGGGTTTAAAGTTTGGTTCTTGCTGTTTTTCAGTGTGCCTTGGGACAATGAATTTGTACTGTTTGATTAAAGAATCTGAGATGGCACCTCAGACCCTGTGTGCCAGTAACCTGGTATAATATTAGTACAACACAAAAGTTTAAGTTGTTTGAAACAGTATGATCACAGAAAATGTGCTAATAGCCGCCTGAAAGATCTTTTCTGGTGAAGACTGACCTTTAAAAAATACATATTATAATCAAATAGAAGGAATGGAATGAATGCATCACACATAACAGGAATAGTCATTCTTTTATGAAAAAGTACCCATATTTGTCAGAGATGTAAGTACATTTCTTTTTTTGTATTTTTATTTTTTGAGACAGAGTCTCAGTCTCCCTGGGATTGAGTGCTGTGGTGTCATAGCTCACAGCAAACTCAAACTCTTGGGCTCAAGCAATTCTCTTGCCTCAGCCTCCCGAGTAGATGTAGCTGGGACTAAAGGCACCGCCACAATGCCTGGCTACTTTTTGGGACTGGGTCTCGCTCCTACTCAGGCTGGTCTTTAATTCCTGAGCTCAAGCAATCCACCTGCCTGGACCTCCCAGAGTGATAGGATTACAGCCGTGAGCCCCCGCAGCCGGCCAGAGATGTATTATTTCTTACTATGAATGAGGGTCAAAAAATAATGTCACTGAACTGGGCTGGCCAATGTTAAATAATGTCAAAAATTCTGGGTCTTATAAAATCATGCAGCTCAGCCTCATCCCATTAGAAAGTATACTAGATCTTGTAGCACAGAAGGTTCCTAAAAGTCTAAGTTTGGCTGGTGAACTGGCTCATCTAGTGTAATTTTTCTTTACAACCCACCACCTGTCTTGAGACACTAATTTGTGCTGCCGTTTCCCCCTCTGTATTAATACCCAGTATGGGACTTTGGCCCTTTCTTTGTAAGATTTGCAAAGGGATGGGGCTCTGCACAGGTTGGGCCCCTTGCTTCTTGGGAAATGTCAACTTCTAAAAATGCTCAAATGCCTTTTGTCCTCTAATCCATCAACTTAGAGCTTTCAAGGAGTTGGTATTTACCAAGAAGCCGTTATGGAAGAAGCTAAGAGGAAAACACCCACACCCACACACACACTCAACTTTGAGATCTGACAGTACAACTACTCCAGAAGCCAGGGACCCAACCTGTGCAGCGTCCCACCCCTGATTTTCACCCCTGGGAGGCTCAGGGCAGAATTGTCAGCATTAAATGCCTCCCTCCCAACTTCCACCTCAAAGGTCTTGGGAGCTCAGGTTGTGGGAAGAGAAAGGTGATGTGGCGAGACAAAGTGAGGCCCCTTAGTTAGAACCTCATTGTCCCCCAATCCCCCTCCCACCCAGTCAGAACAAAGGACTCAGAACCTGGCCTCTTCAGCCCTGCCCCCACCCTCTTGCGCTAAGGGGCCCGAGCCATTGCTGTTAAACCCAACGCACCCTTACTTCTGTCTCGGGGTCTCAAGGACTAAAAACTGATCGATTGGGAGCTGGCGGATTCAGGTTAGCAGAGGGGAAAAGTCCCAGGCCTTAAATGTAATAAAGAGGAGGAACTTGAGTGTGGGTGGCCACAGAGACGCAGACTGCCCCTGCTGTCTGCCGTGGGAGGCCCCGGGGAGGGGTTTTAAGCTTTGGAGTCTCTTCTTTCTTTGTGGGGGGGGGGGGTTGGGGAAGGGAGGTGGGGTCTTGGTCTAATGTGTGTGGTTACAAGGACTGAAAACTCTAATCAATGACAAAGGGGGCATTCCCCTTTAAAATCCTTTTACTGTTTTCAGCTGAAGGGTGGAGGAATGGTCTTATTTGCTCCTCGGGGTCTCCGGAAGGTCTAGCTTGGTGTAGGGGGTCAGTTCCTAGAGCAGTGCTCTCACAGAAACCTGTTTAAGCGGCCTTGGTTAAAACCAAGGTAGTCTCTCTGTCCGGAAAGTGCCCACAGCTATCTCATTCTCCCTCCCCTAGGTGCCCGCTTTGCCTGTTTTCCTGCCCACACTGCTTAACCAGAATTATCATGCCGCGGGGGCACAAGAGTAAGGTCCGTGCCCGTGAGAAACGCCGCCAGACTCGGGGCGATGCTCAGGGGGCTCAGGCCACCGCTGCTGAGGAAGAAAGGCCTTGCACTTCCTCCTCTCTTCTTTGTGATAGCAATGCCCAGGGTTCCTCTGCTGCTGGGTCACGTAGAAAATCCAAGAGACCAGGCAGAGCCCCATCCACCGCTACTACTTTTGCAGGTGCCATGAGCCAAGATGGGGAAAGACCAAGTACCTCCCAGGCACTACCCACAGATGATCTTTCAGACGGCACACCTCTAGATAACAGGGCAATTGTGTTGGTTCAGTTCTTGCTGCGCAAGTATAATTTGAAAGAGCCCATAACAAAGGCAGACATGCTGAAGTGTGTCACCAAAAAATATAAGAAGCATTTTGATGAGATTCTCAAGAAGGCCTCTGACCTTATGGTGCTGGCCTTTGGCATAGATGTGCAGGAAGTTGATTCGAGCAGGCACCACTATGCTCTCATCAGCAAATTGGGTCCTAGCTCTGATGCAAGGCTAAGTGGTGAAGAGATTATGCCCAAGACTGGCTTCCTAATGACTATCTTGTGTGTGATCTTCATGAAGGGCAACCGTGCCTCTGAGGATGAGATCTGGGAAGTGCTTAATGTAATGGAGATATATGATGGAAGAAGGCATTTTATCTTTGGGGATGCCAGGAAGCTCCTCACCCAAGATTTAGTAAGGGAAGAGTACCTGGTGTATCGGCGGGTGGCCAACAGTGATCCTCCGCGCTTTGAATTCCTGTGGGGTCCCAGAGCTCACGCAGAAACCAGTAAGATGAAAGTCCTGGAGTTTTTGGCCAAGATCCATAACACAGTTCCCAGTGCCTTCCCAATCTTGTATGAAGAGGCTTTGAGGGATGAGGAAGCGAGAACCCGAGCCAGATTTGCAGCTATGATAATCGCTAGTGCCCGAGTCGTTGCACTATCCAGGGCCAATTCCGGCAATTTCTCCCAGCCCTAGTGGAGTTTGAAGAGAGTATTCAATCTTTTCAGAATATGGTGGTGTTGGAGGAAATAAAGTATATATTATACCTGTGTTCTTATTGTACATGTGTAACTTGTAGATTTACCTTTTCTTTTTGTTGTAAGTTTTCAAATGTTACTTATTTTGAATATGTTTAATTAGCTTTAGAATCTAAGTATATGAGTAATATAGGTAACATATTTAATGTTGTTTATAAGACTTAGTAGTTAAGAATTGTGCTATTTTATAAAATAAATTGGGAAAGTTTCCATATTATTTAGTCATCTGAAATAAGAAAACATAGCACTAGAATAGGCTTTTCCTTAGAAATGTGAAATAAATCAGCAGTAAAATAGTTGCAATAAAGAAATAGAAAAAAAATGGAAAAGATCGTAACTTCTTTGCTTCCCTTATCTTTTCTGTTGTTCTCTCAAATAAAAGTTATTTTCATGGATTTGTGTGGTTTATTTAGAGAGTGTTTAGTAACATAGAAGACAAGGGGAAAGGAGTGGGGTGCAGGGAGGTGGACAGGGGGAGGTACAGAGGAGGGCAGTCAAGCAAAAATGCCCTCAGGCAAGGCAATCTGGGCCCTTAAAAACCTCAAGGCCCTCCAAGGGAAGTACTTTCCCAAGGGTAGTGGGTGGAAGGAAGGTGTGCGAGTGTCCAGCATGGGCGGGGCCCTGGACTGGGGTGACTGGGCAGTGGGTGAAGGTGGGCAGTGGGTTGGAGGAGGGTGTGGAAGTGGCCAGCATGGGCTGGGCCCTGGGTTGGTGTGACTGGGCAGTGGGTTAAGGTGGGCAGTG